TGACCAGGGTGCACCATTTTCTAATGGTGGTGTGCCTCGTGATTTTTTTTCATGAAAAAAGTGTGCCTTTGCACAAAAAAGGTTGAAAAACACTGGTCTATAGTAAGCCTTCTCCCATCTGTTGTACAATCTCTCCAGCATTTACACACAATTATACAGAAATTTCATCTCATTTATATCCATTCATTTCTCTTACACAAGTGACTTTGCCCCCATGTAGAAGAGCATGTATGCTTCAAAAAACCCAATTCCCATGAATGGATTTCAGGTGGCACAGAATACTTGGGGAGATCAGGCAATTTTAAGCTTTTATATCCCAATGGTTAGCTCACCTCCCAAATTATTCCATAAGTAAAATCAAGATTTGAAAAAAAGATCCCTATTTACTATAATGGGAAACATTTTGATTAAAGGTCCATTGTGGCAGGATCCAGAAAAGTCCAAGAAAACCAATTGGGAAGTTCTTGCAGGCTGAAAATAACTGTTCTTGTGCCCTTTAGTAATCAATAACTCTTCCAAGGAAAGGCAACTTCTCCAACTCAATTCCTATTTTATTAGGACAGGCAATATTTTTGCAGACAATATTTTTTTTGCAAGCATATAAATGGAGAGTTTCTCATAGGCACTTCAATCACTCTATCAACACTTGCCAAACCTCAGAAACAGTCTTGCAACAGTTCATTATTATTTTTAACTGCAGACACTGCAAGAATGCAACCACCACACTAGACCAGTGCTCTTCCTAACTAACAAATAAGGAAAAATCATGTCTGGCCATCATGCTTGGCCCTCCTCCTCCTTCTTACCCTATGACTTTTAAACAATGAAAAAAGTAAAGAAAAAGCAGATCACTGACTACAAAGCTTTAGGCAAGGACACTGATATGCCCCAGTGACTGAGGAGGCAAAGAAGCCAGGAGTTTCCAACCATGGAAAATTAGCCAGGTTACGGGCTGCATGGAACTCTAATGCCAAAGATAAGAAAATGAAACAAAAGTGATTTGAACTGAGCTACAGTAGAAGAAAACCGATGTAGCTGATATAGGGGGCATTTAACTATCTGAAAACAACTCAACAAGCAACAAAGATGAGTAGGGGACTGGAGACTAAAACATATGAAGAACGGTTGCAGGAACTGGGTATGAATAGTTTAATGAAAAGAAGGACTAGGGGAGACATGATAGCAGTGTTCCAATATCTCAGGGGNGGGGGAGAGGGATAATGATACACCTTCCTCATCTTTCTTATTGCTACCATCTTAAATTATAAGACATTATGTAACAAATAGAAGATTATTGTAATTATTACCCTACTTTTTAAATATAGAAAGCTTCCAAAGAAGCTAGCATAGTTAAAAACAGATACTGAAAAACACTTTCAACCAATTCAAATGACTAAAAGCCTTGAATTATTTCCTAAAAATTGAAAGAGTAATTATATTTGACTTAATGCTTGGAGAAAAAGTACAAGTAGTGACAAAGTATGTTTTGCTATATAGAAGCAATGATTTTTTTTACTACAAAACCCACTGTCTGTTGCCATTACTTCTTCCTGTGCTATCTAAAATATCTGAGGGCTACTAAATGTTGCACAAGCAAAAGAAATAGCAGGAGAAGTACAATAAAGTTGAGATGAACTATGAAAGTGCTTGCTTATGTACAGTATTTAGGACTGAATTTAAAGGACTGAATCTGTGGGGTTTCCACATTGGGTTTCCAACGTTAGTCCATAAAATTGTTATATTTTGAACTATTACAATTACAGTAAAGCATCAATTTAATATATTTTATTTAGCAGACATCAGATGCAATGAATATTTCTACTGAGGCATTACCTGAAATAGTGGACATTCAGATAATAAAAGAACTTGCTCATAAATACATAGCCAAACTAAGAAATTCACTTCCATAAGATGCCAATGATACCAAAAAAATATGATTATTGCTTTTTAAATGTACATCACCTCTTTCCTCCAGGAATTCAAAGTGAAATACATAATCTTCCAATGTTAGTCCATAACAAGCCTATGAGGTAGCGAGTGATTAAAAAAAAATAACTAGCTCAAAGTCACCCCAGTGTATTTCCTTAGAAGATTTGAATCTCTAATCTTAGCTGTTTTTCTTAATGTTCTTTATGCTACAGCAATACATCTAGATGAAGTGATAGTGGTATAACATCTATACAGCCAAGTTCATACCTGAACAATTGGATGAACTGTGACTTTATGTGGTTCTTGCTGTACAAGTTCCTGCCCCAAGTTGGATGCCACAAAGCTGAATCCTCTGAAGAGATGATGAGCATTGGCACTTGGAGGGACACCTGGGGAATCTGAAGAGGAGATGAGAGATGACTCAAAGAATGGGGCACCTGGAGATTCCAACCATTTCTCCACTATTATTTTCCCTAGCAACGTTATAAAGAAGCAATTTGCACACTAGCACCCAGCCATGCTATTTTTCAACATGGAGACATGCATCCTTCTCCATTTGAAAGAGCTTCCCAATCTTTGCTTCAACATAAAACTGCATCAGAATTTCTAGAATGAGAGTTCTGAATGTATTTTTGCCAAGAAGAGCCTTTAAAATAGGGGTGTCCAATATTGGCAACTTTAAGACCTGTGGATTTCAACCTCCATGCTGTGTGGGGAATTCTAGGTGTTGAAGTCCACAAGTCTTAAAGTTGCCAATATTGGACACCTCTGCTTTAAACTATTAAACTACTTAATAATTAGTTAGTTAATTAATAATAAACCACTTAATATTTAGTAGTAGTAAACTATGAAAAACAGAGAACCTAGAATTTTCTTTTTTTTTTAAGCAGCAAATTGCACAACTGCTTGTACAATCTTTTGCGTGCAATATTTAGACCACCTGAGGATTTGTGGCAGTGCAGAATTTCAATGTAAAAGTAGTTTCCAATAGGTTAGACATGAAAGAGTTAATGGGAAGCAAGTGTGCAGTAATACAGAACCCTAGAGAGGCTGCAGAGTCCTTTCAGTAGGACCACTCCAAGTGCTACCCAGAAACACTAGGAAGAAAGTGTGGAAAATACTACACAGTAGTAATTCTAATTCTCTAATTCAGCCACACCATAAAATTCCAACAGTCAGTCTATGTGTATACAAGGTAATAGATTCTTCTGGAAGCAACAGCAAATTTGGAAATATAATGGCATTTGGTATAATAGTATCAAGTCATAATGATAACTTACAAAGGATTAGTATTGCGTTGTTTTTACCCATCCTAGTGAGGCAGAAGGAGCATGCTCTGGGTCCTGTCTGGCAAGGAATGTCAAACTGACTGCCCAGGAAGGTAACCTTTCCTATTGTGGCATCTGCTCTCTGGAATATCATCCCTCTGGAGATGGAATTGGCTTTGTGCCTTTTGGCCTTCTGGAAAGCCCTGGAGACACAGTTCTATGCCTGACTCGATGCATGTGGGAGTCTATCTCCTGCTTATATTGATTGCTGTCTGTGGTTTATAATTCTCGACTGTTGTGGGTCTTACGTTTTAAAATATTTTTATTATTTGAAAGTTCTAAGCCATCCAGAGGTAACATCAACCCACCCATTTGAGATGAGTGATTATATAAATCAAAGGAAAGAAGGAAGGAAGGAAGGAGGGAGGGATAGAGTGTTAAGTAATTCTTAAACTCTAGATATATTTTGGATAGTTTTGCTAATGTAACATTACATACATTTTACAAATGTAAAAATAATGGCAAATTTACTGATACGTTTTCTTGGTAAAGTACCTGTTGGGGTCCGTGATGTGAATTCAGGATCAAAATGGAAAGTGTCCTCTGGCCGACCCACTGCAGGTTTAAAGGGTGGTTTGATTTCTCTTCTGTACAGTTTCTGCATAAGAGCAAAGCAAAACAGAGGTTAATTTTCTTGCCACAAGGGACCCTTGAGTTAGAAAATAGCTGTAGGTCAAATAATGAATCAACAATACATTAAAATAAATTTAATTAATTAAAATAATGGTTTTTAAAGCAGAAAGCTGCTTAAAGGAAGAGAAATAAAGAAAAATGCTTTGTATGCTCGCTGCATTCTGACTATGGGAAATATGTTTCATGTTTAATACAGGGGAAAGGAGAAATTGAGAAGCATCACCCAAGAGAAAGGACGAGGCGATTTTCCTCACTTAGGTTAAGTTTCTATGACAATCAACTAGACTTATTTTTCTTTAGGTAATATAGGTCTGTGCTTTTCGGAAGTTTTAAGTGCACATTAAAATATATCTGCACATATGATGAAAGTATTTGAAAAACAGTAGCCTGATTTTTATTAATATAGTTCATTCATTACAGAGGAGAGGAGAACATTTCCACAGAAGCAAAGCGTGCTCAGCATATTGTCCATAGTGACAGTTTCATATTCTATAATTTGAAAATGATAATGCATATGCCCAGTATCAACTACTGTAATAAAATAATGCATTCATTTATTATCTGATATAAATGTGAGCTCATTACATATCCGTAGATTTGCTCCCTGGTTTTTAAACATATAAGCCCATTGCTCAGACTTATGAATCCTAATTTAAAAATCAGCCTATTCTGTTGTTATCCATCATTTTGAGTCGAATACAGATTGATTATGTAAAGAAACATAAAGATGGTAAAATATAGTATTTATTTGGGCACTTTGCACACTGATATGTGCAATACAAATTATACTTTTCAATTAACTGAAAGAACTGTTTGGCACGGAAGATGAAGGACTACCCTGTTTCCCCGAAAATAAGACTTTCCTGGATAATAAGCCCAATCAGGCTTTTGAACGCATGCGCTAAAATAAGCTCTCCCCTCAAAATAAGCCCTCCCCTCAAATATTTAAACACATGCACAGCTGGTCCCCGCCATTTCCTGGGGGGGAACATGCCCCACGCATCCCACATGCACCTGCCATCAACGCGGAAGAGCCTCGTGGAGGCTGCTCCCGCAAACCCTAGCTACCCACCCCTTCTCTTAGTGGCGGCCGCAAAAAGAGTGGCAGGCCCAGCAATGCTAGCACTGGCAAGAGTGTGCCAGAAACAGAGACAGAACTTCTGGCCTCTCTGGATCAGCTAATCCGTGGGCCGAGGTTAAGGGGCCTCCTGCACCTCAAAAATAATAAGGCCTCCCTGAAAATAAGGCCAAGCGCTTATTTCGGGGGTCAAAAGAAAATAAGACAGGGAAACACAGTACATTGGAAGTTATTTTTGAATATCTGAGAATTCACCATTTACTAATTTGCTTTTCTTTCACAGATTCTATTGTTAAACCAGAACTAGGTATTATCAGGGTTTTCAACTGTATCAAGGCCTCTTTGAAGAAATTTATTCAGTGTGGTTATCTATGGAGAAGATATATCAGATATATGTTAAAATAATGACCCACAATTGGCAAGAGAGATAAAACTGTTTTGTTACTGGAAAGATANGCGTTGAGTGACGATTTCCCAAATAACTTCTCAACAGTGCTGCGACCCTCAAACTTGGCCTTTAAGGATTGGAAAAACGATACCGGTTTGTCAGCTTTATCCGAATGAATTCTTACCAAATGGTCTTTCCGACGGAAAGGCTTCATCGCTTCATTTGAAAATGTTTTCTCACAAAGAAGACAAAACGGAAGCTGTATGTTGGAAAGAGATGGAATGAATCCCAATTTTAGGTATTCCGCCGAATATTGGCGACACTTCCTCTTCTCGGCCATTTTGAGAGGTCTTTGAAATGAAAAGCACTAACTGCAAATTAAATTTTTGACCACACTGGAACACTATAAAACACACGTGGACGTTGATAAACCTAGTTTCAACAGTTACATTGACATTACAGCTGACATCACAGGGGACAGCCACTCAGCATGTGATGTTTTGAAAGAAGCGCTCACCCCTCCATCACTGCCCATTCTGGTCAATGGTGCATCACTGTATGGGTAGAATGATAGAGGCTGCTGCGCAACGCGCATGAGGATGAGTATTCACATATGTACGGCGTTCTGTACTGAAGCTAGCTAGAGGAACATTTTAAAACACAGTTCAATCCACTAATACTGAGTGATCTGATGTTTTTGTATGACAGATATACAGCGGTTCACTGTACGAAAAAAGTCTCAAAAGTGTCCCCAAAACGTTTCGCTCCATCGTCCCCATATTGCCCCCCTTCCATTCCTTCACTCCCATGTTGCCCCTTTTCATTCCACCCCCCTTAAAAAATGAAATCGACCCCTAAGGGACGATATCACCCAGGTTAAGAACCACTGAACTAGAAGACCTCCAAAGTCCCTTCCAACTGCTATTCTGTTCTGTTCCGTTCTATTCTATCCCAAGTAGAAGTGCCCTTGGTCATGTCACACAAAAACTAGTGATGTTTGTCATAGGGACAACAAAGCAGCAGAGACAAATCCTTTATTTCTTCTCAGCCTTATAAATTTTACATTCCTTACTTTTAATATTGACTATTTCTTTACTTTTCTGCAATAGATTATGCAATGTAATATTTTGTATTTTGCTTTTTAAAAAAACCCAAACGAGCAACAAATAAAGGACTCTCAGAACATCCGTACCTTCTATTGTAAACATCAGTCTGGATGGCTTCTTTTAGTGAACCAGTGGAAGTAAACAAATTTTTAGGAAAGGAACATAAAACTATTGAACAGTTCTCAGCATATCTCTCTAATGCTTTCAACAGAGCTTTAAAGCACAGTGTTGGACAGCCAACTGTGTTTTTATATGTACAAATATTTCATGAGCCTTTAAATTATATTTGTTTTTTTTTTAACAAATTTCAATTTTATATGGCTGCCCATCTTACAAGATGGAATGCGTATAATAAATGTATTGTATCAATGTTCTTCATGAATCAACATAAACATTATTACTGTATAATCTAGTTAAAATCAAAACGGAATTGGATCAAAAAAAGTAAAGCCAAAGTTGGATTATGTTCACTTCTTACTTGTTAAAATACCCTCAAAATACATGTCATTTAAAATGATCTGATCTCCTAGAATTTTTCACACTTGCATAACTGTTGGGGGAAATGAAATGTCAACAGTTTTGCCATTTGAAAAAAAGCAAGCTTTAAAAATCCAAGATAAATTTGATGGACTTCCTGTGGTTGGATCCAAAGAGCCATGTGGCTATGACCATGGCTTTGTTCTCTTCTGATACTGTACTTTATGTCAAACATGAAATGCATAGGATTTTAAAAAACATGACATAATATGACAAATTAATTGCAATTGCCAGAGATTAATTGAAAAAAAGAAGCATATACTGAGCATATTGAAGCCATGGAAATAACCCGAAGAACATCTCTGAAAGCCGTGAGTGCTCCATTCACATATCCATTTTCCTCATGGGCTGACTTACATTTTACTTTCAAAATTCACCTTCATACTGTCTGGTTCCCATAACCTCTTGGTCCGCTGCATCAAGGCAGCATAACCGATACTAGTTGCCCTTGCCAGATGATCACCAGACACACCACAGTGATTTCTTACCTTTACTGCAAATTCTGCTTCTGTGGCTTTGTGAGTACACCTCTTGCAAACAGAATACGAGCCAATGCCAATGTCTTCCCGGATTTCATATCCATCTCTAAAGTGAATATTGTTCCCATGTAACTGCTACATAGGGAAACAAAAGAATAGCAATAAAAAGACAAGTCTTATGGTTGACTTCATCAGAAGACTCTCTAGCTCTAACAATTCAGAGACATTAGTTTATTATACAGAACCAGCTAATTACTGTAAATAAGTGCTGCCTTAATTTTGTCCAATTAATCTTACAATCCTTAGCATCCGTGGATTTCTTTTACGTCAACCTGAAGAAGTAAAGCTACAGCAATATTGTCATAAAAATACAGCACAATTAATCCAAAAATAAACATCCCATTAAAGTTAAACCTCCTTTAACATGAATTCAACTGCTGATGATTTAATACAAATATCTCTGCAGTTTTCTTGGCAACAACATGAAACTTATCTGCCATGGATACTTTCCCAATCTCTAAGGATAGAAATTGCCATCTGGCTGGGCTGGGGTGGAAAAAGCAAATTCTATGGTTCTTAAGGAAGGGAGTTAAATTTTAAAAAGTAACTTCCCCTCCTCAGGGCATTTATTATATAACATTGATCCACTAACCAGAAGTAGCTGTTCACTGAATGGTCAGGTTACATTCCCTAGGGGATTTTTCCGGATTTTTTGGAAATGTAATGGATGATAACGATAATGATGATGACAATCATGAAGTTCATTATTTGTATCTTGTCTTTCTATTGACATGGCATTCAGAGAAACTCATCTGGGAACTCTTGCACACAAAAGTATTACCTACCACTGAACATAAACTTTCTTCTCATATTAGCTTTCATTGCTAATATGAGTTTTGGGTTGTTGACCTTTCTTGTATTTTACAAGCTAGAACTGGAAAGGAAGGACACAATTACTGCTGATACCACACAAAAAGCTGGGGGAGACAAACTGTGTCACTTTGCAAGAAATGGTTGCTAATGGGAACTTTCCCTGAAATAAATGAAACATTTTTCATAAAGGTGTTACTCACACCACTGATATACTTGTGGGTAATTTAATGTCTGAACAATTTCCCTTCAGCGGATACAGCTCATATTCAGGTCTCATTTAGGGGTTCACTTTCTGGTACAGAAATAGAGAAATTCTCTTTTCCACATTACAAAATAATCCATGCTGGAAACGTGAGAAATTGATGTGTGTATATATTATTCTTAATAATTTTGATAGCACTGATATTACTAATGTTTTATATTTTAGGTATCATCATTTCTTATGCTCCTATAATGTAATTGTAGTGGATTAAGACAACTCTTTATTTTGAGTGGATTGTTGTG